GAGATAGTGATGCTTGAGGATAGCTGCTCCCCAAAAATGAGCTGTTATATGGCATCCCGCAGGGCACCATTTTATCCCCAATGCCTTTTAAACATTTATATGAAACTGCTGGGAGACATCATCGGTAGGCATGGGGCAGAGTGTTATCATTATGCTAATGATACCCAGGGGCAGCTCAACCCATTACGCAAAGTAAGCATTTGCAGTATAGTTGATTTTGCCCTGGGGCGCTCTTGAGGCACTCTTGGGGGAAAATAGACCTTGACATATGCGAGTTGTAGTTACTGGGATGTATAGTTCACCTACAATCAAAGAGCATTCTGAACTCCACCAATGATGGAATTGAACCAAATATGGCACACAGAACTCCCACAACGAACAGAAAATATATATCAGCGATTGATTGGGGGGGGGGGGGATACTGTTTGTTTACCATTGAAAATTACCTAGGGCTGCCTCTGATGATACCCAAATATATTTCTCCATCCCTTCAAAAATAGCCTCAGCTAAGGATACTGTGTCTCCTCTGAATAAATGCCTGGAGGAGGTAATGGGCTGAATGAGGAAAAACAAATTGAAACTGAATCCAGACAAGATAGAGGTACTTGCCATAAAGAGTCCTAATCTAGGAATGGAAGCATGTCAACCAGTTCTGGATGGGGTCACACTCCCCTAAAAGACTGTGTTCGCAACTTGGAAGTACTCCTGGATATGTCACTCCAAATGTCAGCCCATGTAGATACCACAGTTAGGAGTGCTTATTATCAGCTGTGGCTGATAAACCAGCTATAACCCTTCTTAGAATTTGAGGACCTAAATATTGTAGCACATGTGCTGGGCTACCTCTGTACCAAGTTCAAAAACTCCAATTAGTTCACAGCAGCCAGAGTGGTCACAGGAACATCCAGGACTGAGCATACTACGCTTACTACTAGTCACTTGACTGGTTGTCAGTTAGTTTATGGGCAAAGTACAAAGTGTTGGTTTTGACCTTTAAAGCTCTACATGGGTCCACGGTATCAACAGGATCGCTTTCTCTCATACATACAATCCACCCTGCTCTCTTAGGTCCTCTGTGAGGTGTCTATTTTAGCCTGCCAGTACCCGACTGGTGACAGTCACCCAGATGACCTATTCATCATCTGCCCCAAGAATGTGGATTGACTTGCCAGAAGAGCTTCAACAGCTCGGTCAGTTGTCAGAATTTCAGACACAATTGAGGACCCATCTCTTCCGACAGGCCTACCTAGTCAATTTTAAGTGGTGAATTTTAATTTGCTTTTTATCAATGGGATTTTAACTTGTATTATGACTCTGTGTATCTTGTTGTGTGTCCTTTAATAGTGTTGTATCTCTTGTTTTAATGACGTATCTTGCCTCAAGCCATAGAGAGAAGCGGGCAATATATTAACATCATTACATCTCCCCCACCATGGGCTATATGGCTCACCGGATGTGATGCCACTTTCATTTCTGAAGATTGACAGAAATGCTTCTGATTGTTTCAGTCTTTGTGAGCGTTGATTGTACTGGGAAAGGGGAAAGTCAAATAGCCACGTGTTTGTAGCAGACTGAATAATTTTCATAAGTTTTTCGATTTTTTTGTCAGCTAATGAGGAGGAGTGGGTTTTGTGAGCCACAAAAGAGCTGACAAAATGTGCTATAGGCCATACCTTCCACATTCCTGAGCTACACAAATGTAGACCTACTGTGATAATCAAGGGACAGGCAAAAAGAGGTCATACTATAAAGATGCACATTATAATCAACAGACTGCTGAAGTCTTCACAATTCTAACATTTGGCGGAAAACTAGACAGAATGGCACTTTTGGTTCTATGTAGAATTTTGGGGGGAGAGGGTTACTGTTTTCTGGAACTCATCGGTTTCATATTCCACTACATACAGCAGCATACATTAAAAAATTGCTCTTCAGTTTAATCTGTGAACAAGATCAAGACTTATTTCTATTACATTAACTTTTTTTTTTTACCAAGCAGTGATTTTCAGTTAGACATTTACTTGGAATTAAGTCCTATGAACTCAGACTTACTTCTGTGTAAGTGTATATAGTATATACATTGAGCGACTTGTTTGTAATTTGTGTATTTTATATATTTAATCTATGTAAAGCTGTTACTTAGGAAAAAAGTGAATTTGTGTGAATATTAAATGTTTTTATTGCCTGAAATACTTGGTTACAACTTTAATGATTAATTAAGTACAGTCTGTAGTCGTACTTTAAAAAAATACATACTGATAACTAATCATTAAAATCAGAGCATAATATTTAAGAGCTCTGTGGTAGCAAATGAATACAACAGACATGGTTCTGTACATGCTGTACTTGAATCAGCCACTAATCTCTTATTTGAATGCTTTCCAGAACTGCAAACAGCTTCAACTTTGAGAACAGTTTATGGTTTCATTAAATAATAAAAACAAGAAGAAGGGAGCAGTATTTTATAAAACTGAGAATTAATTTAAGGTTGAAACTGAATCCCTTTACATTCTGTTCCACGCTATATTATGAACAAAGCATATGGTCAAACGTTTCACTTTTTAAATCTGGCCTGTAAGAGTAATTTTTAAAAAATACTTGTACTAATGCTCCCAGAGTAAATGAGTTTTGAACATGTATTTGTTTAAATAATCTTCACAGCCAGCACCATGAATCAAGTGACATGTGGCAACTGCCTGAACCCCATAATAACTGTTTATTTTGTCACTGTTTATCATTTGTAGTGCATATGTGACAAACTGTTTAGTTGTCTTTCACAGTTGGAATTCTGCTGCTCTAGACCAGCATCTTAGGCTTGGTTTCTTTCCGAAGCTTATCATTTTAATCTAGAATTCTGCGGCATTGTTCTGAAATAGAACACTATAATTTTTATTTATGTGATGCAATATTTTCTTGGGCAAAATCATTTCCACCAGTATTGATGAGACCTGCTTTCTGTAGCTATGTCAATTCTTATTACCCAGCTTGCCCCAATACAGTGGTGGCAAACATATAGCACGGGTATCAGAAGGGGCACATGGCACCCTCTCTCCTGGCATGTGCACCATTGCTTGCTCTCCCTCCCGCTCACCTGCCCCCGTCGCTCTCCCCCTGCTCATCTGCCCCCGTTTCTCACTCGACCCCAGCTTGCTTGCTCCCAAGGCTCACCTCTGCTCCAATTCCCTGCGCACCACCCCCGAGTGACAAACCACCCACCCACTGCCGGTTTGGCCACGCTGTCTCTAAAAAGTTTGCCATCACTGCCCTAGAATTCCACTAGAATTCAGATCTTCTTTCAGACTTCTGTCATTTGTCTTTGCCTTGAAACAACAGCAGCAGTGACAAGTTCCTGTTAATACCCACTCCTTGTTTAAAGCAGGGATGGAGAACCAATAGCCTGTTAGCCACATCCAGCTGTATCTAACTATCCTCACACTTGCCTTGCAAATGCTGTTCCCAGTTAGAGAAAAGAGATCTCCTTAGAAGCTTTTACAATGTTGTAGAACCCTTTAAGATAAACTTTTATTTCCTGATAGGAGTGACATTTTTTTCTCAACAACAGATTCTGGGTGTGGGCACAGTAATATCATATATGATTGTTGTGAGTGGAGGAGTCTTGAACACTACGTTGAGAAAAGGCTCATATCATTTATAAGAAGCAATCATATTTGGAAAAAAAACATTTTCTTATTGGGACTAACCTTTATCACAGACTAGGAATTATTTTCTATACACATAGCTTTATATGATTTTGAAAAGAGTCAAGTAAATCCGTTTTCTAGAAGACAAAATATTGACAAAAGAGAGTATAAACAAATTGTACGTTTTTGTAGACAAGACAAAGTTGGTCATAGCTTATAACACTAATGACTCAGAAATGGAATTTCAGACAGTTTTAGATGGACAAACAGCCCCCAGTGATCAGACAAGCAGTTTTGAGAGTATGTCTTGTCTTGGCTGAGATATACAGACTTCTGAATTCCTTCACTTGAGAAGTTCGGTTTGCTCCCTGAAGGCTAGCTTTTGGCTAGATTTTTCCCCTGGTGCTTGGTGATGCTTTTGTGCTGTTTATTTCTCTAGTCTGCGATTCTGATGGTATATTTTTAGTGGGTGACCCTAGACTGAAACATACATGTTAACCATTGCTAGCAGGATACTGGTGTAATTAAGACTGGACCCAGATTGGGGCTTGGATCCAGAGAAAGCTTTCCATCAGAGTTTTGACCAAATAGAAGTATGAAAGCTGCTATTAAGAATTCCTTTTATAACTTTGTGTAAACATGGCGTGCTACTAGTTGCTGTTTTCTTTTGATTACAGCTTCTTGGACCTATATCTGTACAGCGTTTTCTTTAAAAAGAACTTATTGTTACATTGAGATAATTTTTATATCGGAATATGTGAAGAAATGTTGTTACATAACTACTAAATACTCTAGAAGTATATATAAAGCTAAATAATGGATTACTTTTGAACATCTACTATTAGCATGACTTGAAATAGTATTAAAATGCTTACAGTAACTGCATGGTATTAACGTGCTTTGTTCTAATATTATGATGCATTCAGTAAAAGATTTAGGTGCCATGTGGTAGAAACATTTTAGAAATACTGCTTTAATGCAAAGGATGAAAGTGATAGTAATAAGAAAGAACATTGAATTTGGATTACATATAGGAACATTATGGGGATAGTTGCCAGCTATACTGTTGACATAGGCTCTAGCCCAGATTTCAGTTGGGCTTAAGTTATTCTCATTAACTTACCCTCTTAAAGTAACGGACATTTAAGTATCAATAATTACAGCTGGATAGGAGTCATACTGTCTGATAATTTGGGGAAGTGTTTTCAGTACTGGTCTGCATGAGATTAAACAGAGGTTATTTATGACTAGAAGAACTTATTGGGAGGTGATCAAGGAATTAGAGAAAAAATAAGAAACTGTTTTTGAGCTTTAAAAAATAAAATATATTTCTAATACGACAATCTGAAATTTATATAGGTAAGTTCCATTTCATTTCCAAAACTGGGAGAGTTGAAAAAAGTGTTGAAGCCCACTGTGGAGCTGTTCTTGCAGGACGATGGAATTATGAAGGAACAGCACTTGTTACAGGTAAGAAGATTTTTTTTAAAAATGAAGGAAAACTTGATTACCTCAAACTTTATCTTCAAAAGTAGAATAGATTCACTTTTCATGTATAATGTTAAGAAATAATAGAAGCAAATGACGTTCACTTAATAAAAACAATCCATTATGATCCAGACATGAAATATAGAGTATTAGTGTAATCTAAGGTTAGATGCATCTTGTAGAACCAAGGTTTCATGAGCATGTTTTTACTCATACAATCTTTGGACCAGAAATATGAAGAACAGGTTCCTACATCCTCTTATCTTAGGTTAACATTCAGTTGTGTGACCAGGCAGTAGCTATGCTAATAATTGTTTGTCATGAATTATTCATATTTGTGTCTATTACACCTCACAATTATTGACAATTGACTGGAATGCTTCCAAGTATGGTTTTCTGAAACTTGTTGGGTCCATATAAATTTAAGACCACCATCATTTAATTCCATTGTGCTAAAGTAAGTACTTTCTTTTCTAGGGAATCAGTTTTTAATTATAAAAGTACATCTCAGTTTTATTCTACATGTAATTAGTATTAGAAACCAATAGGATCAAGTTCATTTTGTCACCTTCCTCCCACACAATGAACATAAGCTAGCTACAGCACTTCATCAACTGAAGCTGTTTTTTTCTGACCCACTGTATACAGTCTAGTTAACGTGGGAAAGGCTCCAAGCTTACCTCGTCATGTGACTTACTTCACTGTACAGACAACAGCTTCACCTGCACACACATTCCCCTTACAACTATGACTCGTCACAAGGCTGAATCCAAAAGCACTTGGTTGTAGAGAGTAACAGTACTGACTTTCAGACTCAGCCCAATGAAAAGCCATAGCTGTAAGGGGAGCAAGCACACAGGTGAACCTATTCATACAGTTCAGTAAGTCACATAATGAGGTAGGCAGGCCTGGATTTTTTTCTGTGCTATCTAGACTGTATACCTGTATACAGCAGGTGAAGCTGCCATTGGTAAACTAAGTCAAGTGATGAGGAAAGCCTTTCTGCACTAGCTACACTGTACAGTTTGTCTGCCAGCAGTAAATTGGCACAATAAATCAAAGCAGTGACAATTATGTGAGGAAAGGGAAAAATTATTTTGGGACCCCAAAAAGTGGGTGTGACTATTATGCAGTGGCAACTCTTATGCAGTAACATATGGGAATACAGGCAGTCCCCAAGTTATGAACAAGATAGGTTCTGTAGGTTTGTTCTTAAGCTGAGTTTGTTTGTAAGTCAGAACAGGTACATTGTTTAAGTGTAACTCCAGCCAAAGGTGTATGTGTTTGTGTGTGTGCGCACACACATACATGCATAAATGGACTTTGGATAGCAAAGGGAAGGGTTAACATCCCTGTGGTGTTTCTTTTGCTGTTTATGCCAGTGTTTAGAAGATTTCACCTGTGAAAATTGGATTTTGAAAAATTTGGCTTGTTGTGGAAAAAAGAATTGGTGATAAAGCTTCAGTGGAGATACCTTTTCCCTATGATAACTCTTTCATGAATGAATTTCCCTTCCTAGGGGTAGATTTCTCTCACTTCCTGTTGTCTCTCCCCGTTTGTAACTATGAATCATTTAATAATAATAGTTAGAACAAGAACAACAACTTTATTCTTATATCTTACCATCATCTCCCCAAAGGGACTCGAGGAAGCTTACTGATGGCACAAATTGCCTAAAAACAAACATAAATTGATGACAATATAAAATACAATAAAATAAAAAATATGTAGATGTTTGTAAGTCGGTGTCTGCCTGTATTGTAGTGGCATAGGAATTCCAGATTAATGAGAATATGATCCTGTGATTCCTCAGAAAACATTAAGAAGTATTTCCTGTCTATTAGTTACATTGATTTTGCATGTAAAGTTAACTTTGTACAGCATTAAAAAAATCTGAGAGTTAAGAATGCAGTCCCCTCATTTGAAAATCAATTTACAAATGGTCTTTTGTTGCAGTTGGTGAAGACGGACAAATAAAAATATGGTCCAAGAGTGGAATGCTGAGATCAACTTTGGCACAACAAGGTAAATTTCATTTCCTTATGTTTACACCTTTTGAAATCTGTTTTAATATATCATTGCATTTGTTCACTCCTCAGTGGTCTTGTACTTCAAATTACAACATATGAAAAGTAGATAAATAAATGTTTCCAATATTTTTTAGAATTCCAAGGCTTATAGAATGTTGTTCCTTAAGAAGAGTAGTATGCAACTGGTTGACAATTTGTCTATTCAGCAAATTCCAGACATAAAATAGAAATGAAAGCCTTTGACAACAAATAAAATAGAAATATAATTCAAGTAATATGTTTAGATTTTTCAATACAAAAATCAGACCTCTTCTCCCAAGCCTTTGTTTTGTATCCAGCTATCAGTATTTTAGTAACCCCAAATCTCTGCATTTGAGTTTTAAATACATACTGTTACTATACTATATTATTATTGCAGGTTCATTGGTTGTTGGTTGATGTTTGCTTTTATATTTTGCTATAATGCTGGTTTTATTCTATTTTATGCTGCTGTTTGTGTATTTTAATGTGTTATATTTTAACTATGTTAATTGGGCTTGTCGCCATGTAAGCCCCATGTAAGAAATGTTTATAAACCTGTTTGAAACTCTTCCATTCTACCTTTGGTACACTGAAGTGAAGCCGCCACAATACTTTTCAGAAGTGCCAATGTTTATGTATGTGAAAAAGCACGCCCAGCATTAAAATAGGAACACTGAAGCCTCAGCTGTACGAACACACAGTATATTTAGTTTTTCACAGACCAGTAAAAGGACATTTTCCAATATTTCAGGCTGATATATTTGCGATGTTAACTAGGGCTGTTGAGAGCTACAGCCAACAACATCTGAAAGGACAATCCATGAAAAAGAAGAGATCTAAAGGGAGGGCTTCCACAGAAATTTGACCTCTTTTCTTATATGGAAGAGTAAAACATAGGTCATTCTTCTGCTTTTGCTCAGGTAGGGAGAATGAAAAGTCAGTCAAGAGAGGGCAATCTTACTAAATCATCTTACTTCCCTCTTGAGCTTCAGAAAGATAAAATCTCAATTTTTTCCTTCTTTAGCTCACTTTTTCCCCCAAACTCTTTTATACGAAATAAAATAATTGAAAATCTATCTGCATTTCTTCTTTTTACTGTTCCTTCTTGAATTTGAACTTGCATCCAGCTTTAACATGTCTGCTGTGACCAGGATTATTCTTGTTGTTAATTGCCATCAAGTCAGCTTCAACTTAGTGAAACCCTAAACTCCATACCACGTTGTAACAGAGAACATTATCACAGAGTGTCTGTTAGTCCCACTGTCTTGTTTTCTATTTTCACTCAGACCTCATAATAGAGCTTTATTAATACAAATCGCTCTACCTGCTTACTGCACCACCTCATAGACTGCTTCTCCCTATTTGTGCTTTGCTCTTCCAAGCACCTGCACCTTTAAAAATATTGCCCTGTAAGTATTTATTTATTTATTTATTTAATACACTTGTATACCGCTAATATCTCAGCCTAAGTCGGCGACTCATTGCGGTTTACAACAATTAAAAACAATATACAATTTAAAACAACAACACATAGACAATACAAATTATTGGGCCACCAATAATAATACCATGTATCTCGTCACTAAAATCACAGTCCAAGTAGAATAACTGCACAGTTTGGCAATTTGGCCCATTATCATGATAAACCTTGGTTTTATGTTTCTTTATTATGCTTTTTGCAGTTTCACAGTACTGTTTTCTGTGCATAATAAATATAGATGCATTGCCAATTCCAGAGAATGGCATTGTACTGAAAATCCCGGCTTTATACAGATTTGGGGTGCTAGGGCACAGCAGCAGAATTCTGAAGGTTCCAGTTGTTGCAAAGATTAGTTGCCATAATTCAAGGGGTTATGTCGCCCTATTTTTGTCCCTCTGTGAAAACATAACTGACAATTTGTACACTTTCTGAGTTCAAGCCACTGAGATGTCCCATTTATCAAAGCACATGAACAGACATGCAACAAAATGGAAAATGTCAATGTAGCAGGTCATCAAAATCAAACTATAAATGTTAGGGTATTCTATCCCACCCCTGCCACACAAACACATACAATATTCAGTTTTTCCTGAACACCCTTTATTCTTCCTTCTGAACCCTGCCTCTTATCTCGGAACTCGGGAAGTGGCCTAAACTGAATTAACCATATGCAATTTTGTGAGAGACTGTTTCATAAAACTTTATGTCTCAGGGCCATCCACATAGCCATATAACCCAGAATATCAAGGCAGGAAATCTCACAATATCTGCTTTGAACTGGGCTATCTGGGTCCACACTGCCATATAGTCCAAAGCAGATACTGTGAGATTTCCTGCCTTGATATTCTGAGTTATATGGCTGTGAGGACGGGCCTTCAGTCATCTTCTCTGTTCAGTCTCCATCTCAAAAAAGGGGTGATGCTTGTGTGTTTTACTAACATGGCTACCCTTGTCAATCCTTCTGCTGGTGATCCACTACCAGTAGCTGATTCTATTCTGTATACCTCACCTACCAAAAAGATGAAAGCCCTTGGATGTAAGCAAGCAGTTGGCTATGATCAGCAGTCAGTTTTGATCTTCCAGCAACTAACATAAGCCTAGTTGGAAAGAAGTTGCAATATCAATATCAATCTCCCTCCCTCCCTCTCCCTCTCTCTCTCTCTATATATATCCTATTCTATTACATTTTTTGAAGTGGAGTAATCATCCCAAACTTCTTAAAAGGATTTGACACTCATGGCTCTCTGCTTCAACTTCAATTTAATTTAATTTATCCTATCACAATTCTTTTCTGCCTGAAGGACAAAACCATGGGGTTGTTCCCTTGATTGAAGGACACAATAGGCCTAGTGCACATCAAACAAATGGGTGAGAGAGCCACCTTAACCCCACAGTGATCTTTCTAGTAGTTTAAATAGGGATGCAGGGAGGTAGACTACATAGGCAGGATAAAGCAGTGCTGAAAAAGTGTGAGGGCAGATAAAGGAGATACTACAATTTTAAATTTAATTTTCAGAGCTCAAATTTAACTTATGCATTTATTAGAGTCTAATCCAGGAAATACCTTTATGTGGCAAAAGTGTTTGATTGTTGTAACTCATTCCTTTTGATTTAATTGAAAATATTGTACTACAGCAATCTAATATTTATTGAAGTAATATATTAATTTGAGAAAGTTGTAGCATCTGCAGTTAGTACTTCAATAGTCAGTGCAACAATTGCAGTATTCTAACATATTTTCATATCATAGGTAGCACACACACAAGGCAGTTGACATGTTAATAAGACATAATTCATTGGTCTTTTCAGCAGGTAGTTCTCATAGTATTGAAAAATACAGATCAAAACTTACTATGTTCTGCTTTTACTGTATATGAAAAGATGCAGAATTTCAAGGGCAAAATCCTTTATTAAAAAGCCACTTTTTAAACTGATATTTTAATGAAATAATTTAATTAGTCCATCCAAAGCTAGGCATGCATACAGATCTTTTATGCCAGTAGAAAAGATAATACTGTATATGGCAAGAATAAACATTCTCAACAAGTAGGACGTTGCCATATTAACTGGCAAATCGTTTAAAGACAACCTCTATTCTTCACTTCTAAGTCTTCCACTCCCCCTTTCTACTGTTAAACCAGTTTTTAGGGACATTTTCCAATACTTCTATTTTATAGTTTCTCCAGTGGTAATACAATTATGAAAGCTTATGAGAAGCAGAAGAATAGCTATCCTTTATTTCATGAGAGGGAAGGCATTTTACAAGGGATTTGGGATGAGGGAAATAGTTTCAGTCAGGGACTTGCTAGGTTTCAAACACCTCACTACCTCTGAGGATGCTTGCCATAGATGCAGACGAAACGTCAGGAGTGAATGCCTCTAGAATATGGCCATATAGCCCGAAAAAAAACTACAACAACCCACAAAATGTATTTGTATACTACAACTTCCGCCATCTCTTTGGTATTTTGGAAATGCAAGAGAAGCTGGAGTTGCGAAGGAGGATTACTTCCCTCCAGATTCTACTGATGAAACAGTTCTGTTAGATATCTCTGATTGTATCTGTACTTAGCTATCCACATTTGTCTTAGCTGTCTTGTACATGTGAGACTAACGTATTTGGAAGCTTTGATTCTGCTTCTGTAGATTCTTGTATTTACTGCTATGTCTGAATTATACAATAACAAATGAATCTTAGCAATTTCCATATTCATATGGCTTTTGGTCATGCAGTAGCCCTTAGGGTTTGTTAGAATTTTCAGGTCTGATCTGGATTTTTGAAGTAAGAAACTTAGGAATACCACAGATAATACCTCTCTTTGTTCTTCCTGCTTCCTTGAATGCATATATATGTTCCTAAATTCTTAGGTACATCAGCATGAAATTTAGTGCACTTTCCTTCACCTTTAATAGGCCACTTGCAGTGAGTGCAGCTGAGATGCTATCTTAGGTAACTGACGTTGGTGTCACCTGGAGCCCAGATGCTAGCTCAGTAGGCTCTTCTGCTTGGACCTCTTGGCCTGCTGTTTTGGTGGGGTTTTTTTTTAAAGCAACATAAACTTTGAGTGAAGCAGAGTATATGTGTAATCTAATATTCCATTAAAGGCTTAACCTTGTCCACCAAACTCCAGTTCAGATGGAAAGTTACTGCAGTTCTTCCAGTGTTGGTGTATTCATTTGAGATTTTTCATTGGAGGGAGTTAATTCATTCATCTCTGCCTTTTCTGTTTACTGGACAGAAAAAATGAAGATATATTCATGATCAAAAATCCTGTACCAGAAACTAAAATAGAAAACTATTCATCAACTTAAGTCATCATTGGCATTTTGCCCTCACTGTACCTTTCATTTATTGTAGTATCCTTTGTTCTTCTGCTGTTTCTTTATTAGTTTGCCCTGTAAAACTTAATTTTTTTTTATTTTGACCCTATCAGTCTAATTACTGCTGGCTATCGTCTTCTGGGATGTTGTGTTTTGTTCATATTTGTCTTTGCCCATGCCCTTATTATGCCTTTGGACTACATTGTTTCACCATGCTATGTATATTGTGATCTGTGTCTTCTGGCAACCCATCTGCTGAATGGGGAGTTTGCTCCAGCCATTTAAACTTAAAAATGGCATCATTATGCCAGCAATGATGCAAAGATTTAGCATTTGTTTTCGATATAAAAGTCTCAATAATGATTAAAGCCGTATGTACTTTATGCCTTTAAGTAGTCACACTGGTAGCATCTTGAGCACTGATGTTATTTTGATTGTTGCTATTGACAAGGTAAGAAGGAAAACATAATATAACTGATATATGAGGGATGCAGCATATGTAGTTTTTAAGGTTTTCAACCAGAAACATTGCTTCTAGTAGAATGCAGGAAAAGAAAAAGGTGGAATATTAAGATCTAGTAAATTTCTGGGGGACAGATGTTATATGTACTATATAGCTAGGTCTTAAGCATTAGTCCTTAATAATACTAAAACTCTTTCTAATTAAATATTCCTAGAAATACATTTAGCTGCCTGCAGACTTGAAACTCCCTCAACGTTGTAGGCCATGTTCTATAACTCTCTGTATATGACAACAACTTATGTATTTTATTGTTATTTCCATCAGTTTTAAGTGCTTATAATTTTCTTAATAAAAATACAGATCAGGTGTCAGTATTAGATCATTCTCTAACTCTAGAGTAGGTCATACTCTAAATATCAATAGACTGTACTGTAAATATTACTTTCTTACAAATGTATTGCAACCTCATTCCTCTCTCACTTTCACTATTGCATTCTACAGGAACACCAATATATTCTGTAGCATGGGGACCAGATTCTGAAAAGATTCTTTACACATCTGGAAAGCAGCTTATTATCAAACCACTTCAGCCAAATGCTAAAATTCTGCAGGTAATATCTGCTAGCATATCTGCCATACTACTGAGGGATATTTACCCAACAAACAAACCTGGATCATATCTCGATTGAAAAACATGCAAGAAAAAGTGCATCCAAACAGTGTGAATAAAGTACATTGTTATGCAGATCTTAATGTTTGACCCAAGAATATACATGTTAGAATAGTGGGATCAAGACAGTTATTATTTCCAGTGGATGGATACTCATTTTGTTCAGGTAATCCTGTGATCGTAATGGCATAGGAACTACGTAGAGTTAAACATCAGTCTTATCAGGAATCATTAACTGTTGGATTTGGCCATAGAATATGCATTGCTTTTAGGTCAGAAATTGATTGTAATATTCTATAACTTCTTCCTCAGTGGAAAGCCCATGATGGAATTATTCTAAAAGTTGATTGGAACTCTGTTAATGATCTTGTCCTGTCAGCTGGTGAAGACTGTAAATACAAGGTATGGAAATTTCAAGTCTGATAATATGTTTTTATCTATTTGCATTATCCCAAAAATATATTTTATTCTTCATCATATAACAAGAAGTTTTATTTAAGATTAAATACTTTAAAAAGTGAGAGACAGTATAATGTAGTAATTTGAGGATTGGGCTATGGGTTTGAATGTCTTCTTGACTGTGGAAACCCATGGGGTGACAGTCTCTCAGCCTCAGAGGAAGAGAAAGGCACAATAAAACTTACCAAGAAAATCCCATGAGAGATGCACCTCAGATTCCAGAGTACCAAAGTAAAATGAATTTTGTAGAAGAATGCCAACATAAGACACTAAAGCAGTGATTCACAACCTGTGGGTCCCCACATGTTTTGGCCTTCAACTCCCAGAAATCCTAACAGCTGGTAAACTGGCTGGGATTTCTGGGAGTTGTAAGCCAAAACACCTGGAGACCCACAGGTTGAAAACCATTGCACTAAAGTGAGCGCCAAACTAGGTTTCTATATATAAATTGTTCAGGCTGCATAAAGTCTTATGCATAAAGGCTGTATAAAGTTTTGAATAGAAATCTCCAAGATCTTATTTTGCATGGAAGCTAGCCATATTATTTCACTGAAATCAGATCAGTATATAGGATACACCACTCCAGTTCCATTAAAATCAGTAGAGGTGACATGCTAATGTTCAAAATCAGAAAGTTGCCTTGCACAAAGTCTCACTATTTGTCCACTAGTGTATGTCCTCCCCTTGACATGTTCTAGCTTGTCAATATCTCCCGAAAATTATACTATGAATACAGTATTCCAGGTGACTACAGTTATAAAGGAATAACTCTTCCACCTCATTTCTATATATGATATTATTCACTAAGCCATAGTGGGCAAGATGCAGTCCATCATTTGCAGTTATTCTCTCTGTCTTTTTCTATGGCTATAAAACAGTAGTTCCCAAGCTTTGGTCTTCTAGGTGTTTTGGTGATTTGGACACCCACAATTCCTACCAGCTGGTAAGCTGGCTGGGATTTCTGGGAGTTGAAATCAAAAACAACTGGAGGACCAAAGGTTGGGAACCACTGCTCTCAAGGAGTTCTTGGGTATCTTGGCTATCAAAATGTAGTGCTGCAATGAGGAAAAGTAGTGGTGTCATGTTAATACCATCATTTATTGTTTAAACAAGGCTTGCAAGTAGGCCAGTGCTTTTGGAAGGTTTAATGAAGTATAAATCTATGTAAACAAGTTGCACATCTTGTTAAAAGTAAAATAATTAAAATTTCAAAGTAACAGTCTTCCTTTTGTTGCCATGGACAACATTCACAGCAATGGCGGCATGATTCCATTACTTGTGTGTGTTTTGGAGGGTATGTAGTGGCCCTCTATGGAAACTGCCCACCTCTGCATCAAGCTATTGCACAGAGTGGAGCACAGGAGTGGGGAGGTCTAGAGTAAAGATTGGAAGATTTCATTAATCTGTGTTAGACGAATGCATTTTGAAATTTTAATCATAGGTTGTACTCAGAAAATAGATAGGATGACTTTGGAATGGCTATGGTATACAATTTCTGGATCATGGGATTTTAATGTTTATACTGGGATTTTTATTTTATTTTATTTTATTTCCGTGTCAGTAGCGACTTGAGAAACTTCAAGTCGCTTCTTGTGTGATAGAATTGGCCTTCTGCAAGGATGTTGCCCAGAGGACACCCGGATGTTTTGATGTTTTACCATCCTTGTGGGAGGCTTCTCTCATATCCCCGTATGGGGAGCTGGAGCTGACAGATGGAGCTCATCCACATGCTCTCCGGATTCGAACCTCTGACCTGTCGGTCTTCAGACCTCCCAGCACAAGGGTTTAACCCATTGAGCCACTGGGGGCTCCTATACTAGGATGATTTTATGCTTTGTCTGAATGTTTAAATTTTATGTATGTCTTATGTTTAATGGTTTTGATTTTAAGTTCATAGTTATATGTAGTAATTAGTTATTATGATTTCTTTGTGTACTGTATGTTGGCATTGAAATTTTGCCATTAGTATGTTGTAAACCGCCTTGAGTACCCCCCAGGAGTGAGAAAGGCAGTATATAAATACAGTAACTAACTAAATAAATTTAAGATTAAAGATGGGACTTATATTTTTTATAGGTGTGGGATAGCTATGGTCGTCTGTTGTATAGCTCTCAGTCACATGAGTATCCCATCACTTCTGTTGCTTGGTCTCTGGATGGCGAGTTATTTGCAGTAGGATCCTTTCATACTTTACGGCTGTGTGATAAAACAGGGGTAAGTAACTCTAAGAAAGAGTCTGTCGCACACTTTACTAATACTACAGTAAATAGTTCAAATTATATTCACTCATTAAAGAGCAATGATATCAGCTTTTGAGTCCATCTGATTGGTATTCAAATGATTCCCCCCCCCCAAAAAAAAGATTAGTTTTCAGAAGATTATATTATATATTAAAATTCTCAGTTGAAGGAAACTGCGTCAAAGGTAAGTAGTTTTCATGTAGATGTTTCTGTACTTCAATGGTAAGGTGGAATAGTAATAATTTACAATCATTGTATCTTGTATTTTCTAGATTATATCTTAAAGTTTTAAATGAAAAGCTATACATTACTCTCCTTTTGCTATATTCTGATATATTCAGTCTACAATTACTTTTTTCATTCATCCTATCTTCAGATTAGTCTGTGTCCCCTTCTTGTCAGTTTCAGTACTTTTTGTCATAATGTTATATTTTCAGAATTTTATTGATGAGCTTTGGGAAATATTTATAGTTGCTGTAAACTCTGAGATTGTGAGCCTTATCGAATCAGCCCCCTCTCATGCTACAACTGCATTGTTTGTAAAAAAAATGCTATGCAATCGAGATTTCTATTTTTCCTTGTGCAACTTCAAACCTTTTCCAAAATTATAGCATCCATAATTGCCCAAATTGTATTACACTTAGGCTGCCTACCCACTACCTCCACAACATGATCATTGGTGTTATTTTTCTGAGGAGAAGGAGGGAAAAGCACAGTCAAGCTGCCTCCCATCTCAATGCAGTGTCAATCAAATGTCACTTGAGTGCTTTTCCCAGGGGAGTCTTCCCTACATACCCTTCTCCCCCCCCCCCACCCCCTTTTTTTGTTTTTGTTTTTTGTTGCAGTCATGGCATTCTGGAATGGAACTCAGGCATTATTCCTGCATGAAAGGTGACAAGAAGAAAGTCAAAGAACCCCTGTCCTCTTTTGTGTTCCCCTTCCGTCTCAATCCTATGCACCCCAATCCTACAACAGCATGTATATGTATATGTGTGTGTGCATCTTAGAGAAAGAGATTGAGAGAGAGAGAGAGAGAAAGAGAGAGAGAGAGAGAATGAAGTGCTGTACCATTGTTACAACAGAAACTTGGGAAATTGACTGGATCGCTCACCAAAAGCAGGTGCTCACTAACTGCCTCCAAAATTTACGTAACAGTGTGATTAAACTTCAACAAAGGAAATCATAGCGTGACAGAAGCAAGAAAGGTCAGTAATGGGTTTTTTTCTATTAGGAAAAAAGAATAGCTTTTAAAAGCAGTCTCCCATTAGACAACAACAAAAGAGCGATGGTCTCATGTAATTAGCCCCAACAGAAGGTTCTGTTATCTAGATATAATTGTGATTTATCTGGTTTCTGAGATAAGACCCTTTGTCTCATGCAGAAATATTTGCTGTAGTTATTCGTAGTTTCAAAGCAGATACCTCATTCTGCTGCTTCTTTTGAATATGCCTGGAGTATTGATAAGTAGGAAGATGTCTCTTTTCAGTCGAATCCAAGAGACTGATTCTGTAGGCTGAGGTGCTTGATGATTGAGTATCCACAAATGGAAATGTCTGTCCAATACATAATCTGTTCTGAGAATATGTGCTGGTATAGATAGCTCATAGTGTGGGCAGGCCGCAGTCCTGAGTAGGGTCATGTTTCAGAAGCTAGTATGAAGTTGAGAGGTATTTGGGTTAATGACTCTTCAGAGGACAAATATGGTATTGTACTCACTACTCCTCAGCCCTGAGGCATGATCTGGTAACTTCTTGTACCTCTTCTCTTTCTGACTTGGACTACTCTTCCTTATGGACTTCAAATGACATGAGTGTAAAGTACAGTTATTCGCACATGCTCCTTACCTCTCCATGGAAGTGCTGAATCAGGGTTTAGTATTTTAATGTGTGTGTCTGTGTGTTTCACTCATGTGCTCTTTTAATGTGATTTGTAAGCATTGTTGTACGCCTTCTTCCTACCCCTAGCAGCCCTTAAAAAAGACATGCCAAAGTTGACATTCCAATAAAAGAGTCAAGCAACAACAAAAGTCCTGCAAATTCTTATTTTTAAACAAGTGTCACATATATAGAAAATTAGAAACAGGCACTAAACACAGATAATAGGAAGTTCAGAAATCATTATTCAGCATTTTCCTCTGAATCTGAAAATCTGTTCTCAATTGTAACTTCAAGGTCTGTTCATCATTAATTTATTTTTACTTCTGAAATGATTTTTAGAAGTCAACTAAGAAAGTGTGTGTGTGGGTGGGGGAGGGGTAGTTTTAAATTTTAAACCTTCAACATATTTAATATTTTTGTGGGTTTTAAAAAACTCACAATATAAAAAAAACAGTAAATGGGCTGTTTCTAATTCAGATTGACTATAGTTCTCTGACAAACAAATTTGGTTTTAAGGGTTTTAAATCATAATCTTTTCAGACAAGATACTGCTTTTCAGAGAATAAACTGATTTTCCAAAGGTAGTGTTGCAGTTGAAACACTGAGTAAGTAGATGCAAAGTTTCTTGTGATGTGATACTATTATTATTTGTTTGTTTATGTATTTATTTATTTATTTATTTGCGGTACTTGTATACTACTCTTCTCAATCCCGAAGGGGACTCAAGGCAGTTCATAATATTGGCAACAATTCCATGCCATCAATAAAAGCCAGTATAAAACATCAAAATTGACCCTCCCCTGATAAAACATTAAACATTATTAAACACAGCACATAAAATCAGATATTACACAATGACATTTACATCTGCCACTGTTTAATCTATTTAATAATCAATGAGTACTATATACTTATAAAGAGTGAAACATAGGGTTACTAAGAGTAATGGCATGAGAAGTCATGGAGAATTAACTTGGTTAACCATATATCACTTAGCATGTCTTTCCATCACTGTGCCTGCCACTGTGTGAAGCTGACACAAATTTTAATGCCTATTTTTTGGATGACGTTATGTTGTACAGAACTAAAACAGTCTGGACTTTGTATACTGGCTTTTGAAAATAAAATATCAAAATAGATTATAATGTAGGTATGGTTATTAAATTCATCATTATGTTGCTTCTACTGTACGATAGATGTAAGAATGGGCAGCACATTTTCAAAATAATGTTATAATACTTTGAAAAAAAAATTAGTATAATTGAGACCTGCAATCATAAGTTGGAGTTTGAAGCAGTTTTGCTCAAAATTTCACCTATTTCACTCAATTCCATTTAACCTTTCCCTTTCCTGACTCCCCGCCATAGTCAGCTGAACATTACCAGTCCAAGCAAACTATTCTTTGCATTCCTTAGGATTTTTTTTTGTAGTTCACCAAATCTTGGACTTCCCCCAAGCATTCTACTGTCTCCTTTGTGTGGGCAGGTGGGCTTTAGAAATATATGTAGGTATTTAGGGTAGGGAAACAGAATTTTTGCTGCATTTAATTGAATAAAACAATCTGCATTTTCATCCTATATCCTACCTGAGGTCACATCTAACAAATAAAATACTTATTTTCATCATTCCCACCTCATTATTTTTTGATGTTTGTTATGGCTTCAACTTCTGAAATACTGCTTTCTCTTGCTCGCATCCCTCTCCCAGTCCTGCTGATATATGCTTGCACTCACATCTCTCTCTCTCTAAGACCTTTGGAACCAGTGGGACCTGGCTGCTGACAGTTTTATGAATGAAGTGATTAGAAACTTGGAGACAGCTTCTTGAATAGTATGATATAATGCATGGTGCAACGTGGCCTAAATTCTGTTGTATCAGAAAATCTCTGCTTTTTTGTGTATTTTGCTTTGCATATCTTGTCTCTCTGCCCACGCCCCAACCTCCAGTCATCCTGTCTTGCACATCTCTTTTGTACATTCAATTCCCCCTCTTGGATGTCCTCATGTTTCAAACAAATCCTCACTGTGCTCCTTGTACCTCTTTTTGTCCTTTAAAATGTACTTTTAGTATTCCTCTTTGGCACTCTTCAGGGTGATGTTTTTCAGCCATAAAAACAAGACGTACTACTTACTTTAGACCAGAGTTGTGCCCCTTACCAACAAGAAACAATTGTCACATCCTAGTAGTAATCAAACATGTAGAAATTGGGTTTTGTATCAAACACATGACTCTAGTTTTTCTTCAAGTAATTGTAGTTTGGCATCTGTTTGACAAATGTAATCACTACTTGGTTAGGTTTAGACTCACCAGGGCTCTAAACCTCTGCAGGGGTGGTGGACCGATTAGGAAGGTCCACTCCAGGAGGCTTATGGATGCAGAAGGATTCCCAATGACTCTTGGGGATTTTCCTGCCACTTCAGTAGGTTATTCTGTCAAAGCTCTGGTAGACCTCTGGAAATTGAAGGTGGCAAGGGCAGTTGACACAATTGCTCCCAAACTTCTCCTATCGCAAAGCAGAGCCACATTGGTTCCTTGGCAATGATGAAGCAAGTGATATGGAGACTAGAGGTGCGTTGGCAAAAATGTCATAGTAAATCCAATCGAGCAAGGTCTGGAGCTCTAATAGCCTATTCTGCTGCAATGAAGGTGGCACAAAGATGGTTTGTGACTGCCAGCATTTTATCTGCAAACAGCCACCAAAGACAGCTGTTCCGCGTGGTCAGAGGACTATTAAAGCCTGCTCAACCAGGGATCCCTGACCAATCGGCAGCAAATTGCAATGAATTTGTCAGATTCTTTGCCGATAAAGTTGCGCAAATCTGTTCCGACTTAGACACCAGTGTTGATGCAGTCTCCGTGGATGTAACTGAAGCAGCTGCCTGTGGATTCTTTTCAGCTTTTGAAACCTGAGGACGTGGACAAAATCTTGGGAGAGATGAAGGCAACTACCTGTTCTCTGGACCCTTACCCATCCTGGCTAATTAAACTAGTGGGGGGGGGGGTGCTGGTCAATGTCTCCTTGACTTTGAATTTAGAATTTTTTTTGAATAATATGAGTTTCAAAAGCTAGTTATTATACAGCATTTGCATCTCATTA